TTTAAACTTACTTACTTACTTGTCAGTGAGACCATTTCAGAGAATAATGCTATATTCTCTCCATCAGTCAGTAGTAAGAGTATGTACTTTATAGACTACTTACAGAAATCAGCAAATCCACAGCATACTGCCTATTTTCAAAGAACTTATAACTTTACCCAGCCTGTATATGTTTTTTTTTTAAGTTTGTATATTTATTCTTTTCATGAGCAAAAGAAACAGAGAGAATGAGACACAGAAACAGATAGCACCCGTAGCAGGTTCTTGACACTGCAGTCTACCCCCAGCCTTAACCAGCCCCAGATCGTGGGCATATGGGTGCTTATATTTTCAGGGAGGTCTCTGGACAAAACCCTGGAATCTTCCCATTTGGGTCAGCTCACAGAATATTGTGTTTTACTGCTGGCCACTATCCAAGCCCCGAATGGGCCTATATTAAATGACCACTGCATAATACTAGGCAGTTGATGTTTACATGCCAAGTTTTGTGTGTCTCGAACTATAATTGCAGAGAGCATTGTGTTTTACTGCTGGCCATCGCCTAGCCCCCAGACAGGCTGACATTAAATGACTACTGCAAAACACTAGGCAGTTGATGTTTAAGTGTCAAGGTTTGTGTGCCTCGGACCATAATTGCCATGGCCGTGGAGGGAGGGAAGACCAGTATAGGGAATTTGGAAGGCTTTCTAGAGGAGGTAAACAGAGGTAAGTTTACTGGGATGAACTTTAAAGCAGTTGGGAGTTGTGTAAAGCTAGAGGATGCTACTTGGAAAATGAGGGTGCCACTTGTGTGCCATGTGTTGGCATGCTGGGTGCTGAGGGGACCATCAGGATTTTTGACAGTGAATGGAGGAGCTTGATTATAGATGACCTTGAAACCAAACTAAATTTGACCTTGAAGTTAATCCAAATATTTGTGTGCAAAGGAGTGGCATGCTGGAAGTAGAACTTAAGGACAGGTGATTTGGGGGTATGTTTGTGCTGGGTGATTGGGGGTGGGTGGCAGCTTAATGTCCTCCAGGGTTGAGTTCTGAAGGCGATTTCTGAGCCTCTTATATTGGCCCATTGACAAATTCAGGGTCTATCTTCAGAGATTAAGTAGTGACAGTGGGAGTGAAGCAGAGTAGTAGTTTACCAGGGTCCCTTATTGTGCCTCTTGCCTCCCTGCAAAAACTCACTTCAGTTTACTTTAATTCATTTTTTTCTTAAACAGTGAAGTCCTTTGTTGCTACTATTCGGTAAGGAAAAAGTCTTGTTCAGGGTTATATTACCTAAAAGCCTCTGAATAGCTACAAAGAACATAACAGCATAAAACTATAATGGGAAGGAAGTTTCCAGGGCCTCCAGAAGCAAGCCAAAAACAGTCATGCTCAGAGAGAAACAAAGGATTCTGCGTGTTGACAAATGCCCTGCAGATTTTGTAAAGAAGAGGGGAGCCATTCTTAGTGAAATGGGTTCCAGTTAATATAAGACAGAGAACTTGAGCTTTCCAACTAGAATTTCAGAATTTCACTTTTGAAAGTGCAGCAAAAATGAATCTCCAGTTTTCTTTTCAGGACAGGCATCCTGGGAGCTGTTTGGCCCTCCTCAGAGAGAGACTTTGCTGATCTTCATTTGTTGCTTTTGCACTTTCTCCATGCAGACTAAAGGTGCATGGGTGCTAATCCTTAGACAGAGTCCTGGTTTGCAAGAAGTGGGTTACCCAACCAGTAGGTTACCCAAGAAGTCCATTAGCCACCAAGTCAAGACCTTGTGTGGAAATCGTCTTTCTGAATCCCTACAGAAACTACACTGTATGTGTCACACACTGTCGATTCAACCATCAGACTCAATAGTCTGTGGAATCCTCCCAAAACTGGCACTATAGCTTGGCCCCTGAGCCCAAGCCAGGACTTGAGGGGCTTTCTGGTTGGTAGTGGTTCTGGAGCCTTCTGTGGTTCCTCACAGCTCTTACTTGGAGATGAACTCCGAACAGAGAAAGCAGCATCCTCCCTTGTGCCATAAGTTTACTTCCAGGTCTAGACCCTGGTGGTTAGGCCATGTGCCCTGCCATAAGGAAATTGACTCCATGTGTGCCACTGGAGTTCCCAGTGGAGACAGTGACTGAAATAAGCAGGGGAGGATTAGGTACATGAGTTGGATGAGGGCCTCTTAGATTTTTGCTGTAGACCCTGTGACACACATTATTGTCATGTTACCTTGTCTTACAAGTGAGAAAGCTAGAAGTTAAAGTGATTCCTCAGGCTGTTTTCATGCTGGGGATATCTCACCCATGGGCCTGTCTGTGGGGTCTTTTCTCTCCACCTGCTTGGCTTTTCTGCCTTTCTTCAGCACCTAGGAATCATGGGTAGCAGTAAGATGGAATCCTGTGAGCATGGAAGTCCCCAGGTGTGTGCAGGAAAAAGAGAAGTCTTAAGTGATCATTGATACCTAGCTGGGCATCCTGTCCTTCAGTGTGGATGGGTGTACGTGTGTATGCATATGTGTACGAAGGGCATTCATTCTTGTGTAACATTGGGGGGAAATAGTGTCCCTTTGGTGTCCTTTGTTCTGAGTCTCCTTCAGCATTGCCCTCTGTATAGTGTTCTGTGGCCTGGAACTTCTCTTTGGGGGGGGGCAGAGGGAGAGGTTTTTGCTATACGGCGTGTGTGCTTACCAGAGAGAAAGCAAGAAATCTCCCCCCCCCGGGGGGGGATGGCCATCCCCCCTCCTCCATTCTCTCTCAGGATCTTGGACACGCACGCACACGTGCCTGGCGTGAGTTTAAGCCACTGGTTCTGGGACTCGAATTGCAGTCAACTACATGGAAGTCCAGTGACATGGCCATTACGCCAACCGCTGGTCCCTTGGGACTTCTTGAACCCACTCCCAGGTGGCAGGCCCTGGGATAAAGTTTGGGAAAGTGATTCATACCAGTGTTGGGACTGTGAATGGCCTAGTGCTAGGGTCCATACGGAGTGCCTTATTGAAAGCAGATATATATATCTGGTGCATTCTCCTTTATATGAATATAATTATATACAAATATATATACACACATATATGTCAATTTCTGTATATATGTATATATACATATATATATATATATATAGCTGTTTCCTAGTTGGGTCTCTATTTTATCAGCAGTTTGCTCTGTCACCACAAAAAGGTCTTAGTCATATGAACATATGGTATGATCCATCCTGACCCACACTTCTTTCTTTGAAGCACATGGACCCTCAACTCCTTTCTTGCTTCTATTTGGTGAGAGAAGTTGAGGGTAAAGGTACAGAACACTGAGGGTGTTTTGTGGGGTTTTTGGTTTTGGCATGTATACACTGTTTTTGCTCTAGCCGAGGGCTTCCCAATTTTGCACACTGGAATTATTTGAAGAGCTTTCCAAACTATAGCTGCTTGGGTCCCATTGCCGGAGAGAGATACTGATTGAATAGATCTGGGTGAGGTCTGGGCATGGGGATTTTAAAAGTGATTCTGATTTGATTCTAATATGAAATCAGGATCACACCTTGCACCCCTCTAGTTTTCGACCTGCTTGGAAACAAGAGTCAGGTCAGGGTTTGCCTTTAGTTCTTGGCCATCCATGATTCCTAATTTTAGCTCTAGACATTGAGATTTCTAGTTGTATTGGATGAGGTCCAGGAAGGGCCTGAGTTTCTTTTTTCCCTGGTGGTCCTTGTAGATTGGCAAAAATGGGAACGCTGATAGATACTGTCTCATGCACTGGAACTAGACTATTAGATTGCTCTTCATACAATATGCCATTCAACTTGGTATGTTTTCATTTTTTAAAGTTATATTAATTGTTTTACATTTTTAAGGTAAATATTTTAGTTGTCAAAATTCTTTTTTTATCTAGCCCAAATATGCCTATACTACTTATAAGCCCATGTGCACATGTGTTTTCACATGTTGGGGTGAAAAAACTGGAAAAAGTTGAGTTTATTTCCACCTTACGGCTTTTTGGCATAATTCATTAATCACTACCAACTTTAAACTTGTGGAAAATAAGTAGATAACAGAACCTTGCAAGAACTTTTACATTACCAGTTAGAAACGATAACTGATAAACATGATTTTTCTTCTAATGGGGAAGGAAAAAATATATATACGCACAGATTACAAGGATTATTTTGGGCAAGGATTTTAATTTTTAAAAAGTAATATGACTCTTTCCACAGAGTAGCTTAAGTTACTTTGGCCAAAAGGAGCCTTCAACGTGGTGCCCACGCAGAGAAATCAGTGCAGAGAGGGCAAACACCCAGCCCTGTCCTGCCGAGGGTTCCCATGGATGTTGCGTGAGCAGTATCAGTGTTACCATAGTGGTATCTCATGCTCGGTGTCTGCAGGACAGATACAGTGTCACATTTAATTGGAACAGGAAGCACACTCCGGTCTGTGGGTGAAGCAGATAAACTGGAGCTGAAAGGCCAGTGCTTGGCAGAGGACCAGCACCCATAATCCCAGCTCCATAGTGCAACATGAGACTCCAGAAGCCTTTGAGGGAGGTGAATGCTCTGTCCTGGGCCAGGACATTCTCTTGCCAACACATGGTCTGGCAAAATGACCACTCCTCTCTGTGTCCTATATATTTTGAGAACAGCTGCTCTTCCCATTTTAGTTTTGCTTTTCTGGCTTCCCCACCTCCCTCCTCTCTGTCCCCCACCTTGACCATTCCAGTCCTTGGAGCTTGATCAGTTTTGCAGAGTTCTTGGTTTTCAGTGCTGCTGCTATTGCTGCTATTGGAACTTGCTTGCACGAATGCATTCGTGCCTTCACTCAGCCTGCCATGAGGACTGTTAAATTGACCTCTGGGTCACTTTGGTGGGTGGCTGGACTTGTGATAATTCTGAATAGTAACTCAGGAATTTTTTGACTCAGAAAGGCAGAGTTCCCTGTGCTAGTGGAAATGTGGGAGAGTGCCTTGTGGGTTCTCATGAGTCACATCGGAAGGAGGGAGGACCAGACTGGCACTAATGCACACTTGATTTTCATCCTCCTAGGTCCCTCTCCTGTATGTTACAGCCCAAGTAGTCCCATCCAGATTCTAGAAGACTCCAACTACTTTTTTCCGGACTTCCAGCTTTATTCTGGGCGGCATGAAGCATCTGCTTTGACGGAGGAGACAACTGGTAGTGGCAGGGACAAACTTGGTAAGTCTTTGCTGGTACCTGTATTGAAAAGCAGAACGATCTCTTGCTCATTTTTAGTGCCTTTGCATAGTCCAGATTTTTCTTATTCTTTATTCTTGTTTTTAAAATCAGTATATTGGACTATTGGTTATCTCTTTGTTGGTAGTCACTTTATTTTTAATCATGTGTGCTTGGTGTTAATTGGCTATCTTATCCAACGTGTGACTCTCTCTGAGAGTCATACCTAAGTATGCAGGAACTTCAGAATTATACCATTTATTCTCTCATTTTTCTCTATCGAATTCCCAAGTACTTTTTGCTGCATTTTCTCAGAATCTTTCATTTTCTTTTTTTCTTCTCTGCTACTTTTTTATCTCTTTTTGCAAATGATTCAAAAGTTCAAAAGAAATCACTCAAAACTAAAGCAGAGGAGGAACAATTTCCTTTGTAAAAACTTTCTATTTTTGAGACGTTTTGAGACTCATAAAACTGTGAGAAAATCCTGAAAATCACTTTAGAAGGGCCTCATGGTTCTTGCCTGTTGTACCTGTAACTCATTTCTCTCTCCAGTGAAAAGGGATCTCAATAGTATTCATGCTTGTTGAGACCCATTTCTTTTATTATTCATCCAAATAAGTAATTTCCTTCTGGAATATTTTTTATTTGAATTTTTATTCAAATTTAATTTAAAAACTTTCATTCTTATTTGAATGTACTTGTCCAATTAAGCCTTTCAGACTAGTTAGCCTGAAGATAAGGACTATGAGAAGACTTTAAAAAGTTGTCAGGAAAATGGAATTCAAGTATGAGTTTCTTTTGGTGCAAAATAATTTGATATATGTGTGCATAATACACATTTTCCATGAACTTCCAGAAGAACTCTCAGATGTCCTCTTCACTCTTATAACCCTAGAGAAGGCCTTAAATATAATAGGTTTGCAGGAAATATGTGTGGAGTAAATGAGTGGACCAGTTAAACCTGCCCTGATTTCTCAGAAGTTCCTTGGATTGTTCCTATATTACAGTTATTGGGCAATTCCTCTTCTGTGGATTTGTAATAATCTGATTTTAGTATTTAGGATTTTTTTATTGTCAAACTTTGGGTTTATATCTCAGGTATAGTCTATAGTCTCTGAAGGTAAGGAATAAGTGAATTTACTTCCCACACATTGTTATGAGGTTGATGTGAAATCTTCCCATCTTTCAGTAAAGATTCAGAGAAGCCATATAATTTACCTGAGGTCACAGAAGTGAGATTTGGGGGTGATGGGGAAATACAGGGAGAATCATGTGATCAAAATCGAGCTTCAGAAAGCAGTCTATGAAATTGTTTACTTTTCTCAGCAGTCCTTTCTGAAATGCCTCATATATGTCAGGTTAATGCATAGGTGCTAGGGAGATGACACATGCATGTAATTAAGCTCTTTGCCCTTAGGGGCTTAAATTCCTAGAGGAAGACAGGCTGTGAATGCAGTATGGACTAGGAGGAGAAAAGGCCAGAGACAAGAGCTAATAGGAGACTGCTCAAGATACCTGAGCAACGGATGAGGAAGCCAGACTAGGAGTGGCTGCAGGCATGCAGGAATGGACTGGCTGGCAGTAGAAGCATGGCATGTGAGGGGAACGGATGAGGAAGACATGTTGAGTTGGAAGGACTTAAGGGCCATCAACTACCAGTGTGGACGTGTGGGTCATGAGTCTGTAGTTGACAATGGCAGAATCTAAGGGAGATTGTTGAGTGAAGAGGTGCCGGGATCCAGCCTCGGCGTGGGTGGGTTATCTCGACGAAGGCGGCGAAGGTGAACAGAAGACAGAGGCCTCGATGCCTTTCACGCATGTCCTATGTCGGACACCCCTCAGAGATCGCTCTCTAAGGAGTGACAACTGCTTGGAATAATCGTGCCTTTTTATTGAAAATGTGTTACATACAAGTAAATGGGAGAGGGGCTACGTGTTTCAATTATTAGCTCATAA